AACCACTTCAACTTTGCAATAAGTTAAGGTTATGAAATCTGCTTTATATTTTTCAAGTGCTTCTATCAATTTCCTGAAACCAATTAGCTTGTAAAGTACTTTTTGTGAAAGTACTCAGTGAAAAAGAAACGTTTACTTAGAAACATTAATTTACAACTTTCAACAATTAATTCACATAACCAACTCATATATCTTCGGATATTAGTGAAGAGAAGTGCACGAAATTTGGAACAATACGACTAATTCCCATTTTTTTTCTCTGCACTAAATTTTTGCTTCGAAGCTTAACTCAAAAAATAACTATTTTGATAAAAAGTTTATAATTATAAATAATAAAACAAATCGCAGTGTTTTTTTTTCTAATAACTGCTTCAAATAGGCATTATCAGTTTAAATTTTTGAGATTTATTGAAGAAAAAAAAAAAAAGTTTAGATTCAGAAAACAAAAGAAAAATTTTTGGAATTTGCAGGAATTAAAGTTAATCTGTTATTTGTTGATTATTTTTGCAGAATTGTATAATTATTTGTTTTATCAATTGTTACTTTCTCATCAGTTTTGTAAGGTATGTCAGTACACTGTCTGTTCTTCCAAATTGAATAACCAAATTACAGCAGTACAATCAAAAAATGAGGTGTCGACAAACGTTATCATCACAATTACTCTTCAAAAAAACAAAAAAAAGCATGAATTAAGTTTATTATTACAAATTGACAGTAGTTACGGCGTTATTCCTAACTGATCCAACACAGATCTATTTGCTTTGGTTAATGCTCTCCGAAGTTCGTCTTTCATTTCTAAGATCACTTCGGCAGATTGCTTTCGTGAGAGCGACACGTCCAATTCCACTGTTCTCATCTGTTGCCGTAAATTCAAAATTCGTTCAGACGCTCCTGTAAAAAATAACATAAAAAAGAAAAAAGTTAGAAACAATAGTTTTTAATGTACTTTACATTAATTTTTTGCCTAACTAACCAGTATTGAATACTGTACGTTACCAAACTTATTTTTACTGTGTTACTATCAAAAAATAATACTGTTTTCTATAGTTATCTATTGTACTTGAATTATTTTAATCGTATCTGACAGCTACATTGCGCTTTTTTTTTTGATATAATTATTTACCAATATTACGTAAAAC